GGGCGAGATGGGGAGAGAGGGGGAGGGGGAGCCTGGAACGGGACTGGAATCGGGAGGAATGGAATGAGTGGGACCGTGAAACGGGACTGGTGAAGCTGGAACGGGACTGGGAGGGACCCCGAAACGAGTGCTGAACTGGGACCAGGGGACACCAAACTGGGATTGTGAGGGTGCTGAACAGGGACCGGGGAACCTCAAACTGGGACCTGGGTGTGGGGCTGAACTAGGACCAGGGGACCCAAGGGTGTCCGAAGGTGGGGGTGGTGTTTGAAGCCCCCAATACCCAGTGCTCCCCCAGCACACAGTTTGAGCCCCAGTGAAGAAACGGGACTGGAGACAGGGACTGCGCTGGGGACCCGGGATGGGGACTGGGACACGAGGTGGGGAGAGGAGATGGGGACACACGGTCAGTGTTGGGGACAGGGCTGAGGCTGGGGCGTCCCGGACCCCCCCAAGGTGGGTGTCCGTGTCCCTCGGTGCAGTGACATCATTGTCCCATCCCCTTTCCCTGCTCCCCGCTGGGAACCAGGCGCGTTCCCGGTGACGCAACCGGCTCGGGACCGAAGGGGCAGGATCGGGGACAGCACCCCCACCATCCCCCCCACCCAACACCGCCACCACCAGGACGGGGGACAGTGGGGGTTTGGTGGGCACGAGTGCCCCTCAGCCTTGACCCCGCCCCCCCCCCCCCGACACTCTCCCTGCACCCCAAGGATCTATGGCTGTGGGGTGGTGTGGGGTGCTGTGGGGTGCTGTGGGGTGCTGTGGGGTGCTGTGGGGTGCTGTGGGGTGCTGTGGGGTGCTGTGGGGTTGTCCAGCACCGCTCATGGCCGGGTGCGGTGCTGGACGCGGTGACAGTGACGGTGACGCCAGCCTTGGCGTGGCCCTGGCTGACATCAAACCTGCAGCACAGCCAACACAGCTGCGTCTGGGTGGTGGGGGCCTGGGCGGGTGCACTCAGACCCCTGCAGCCATGTGGGGCAGCCAGGACAGAGCCCTGTGCCATCCTGTGCCGTGCCGTGCCGTGCCACTTCGTGCCGTGCTATGCTTCACCCATGTGCACACCAGAAAAATGGGGACAAGCACCAGCAGGTGCACCAGGGCATAGGAACATGCACAGTGAGGGGACACCAGCAGCACATGGGGCTATGCACAGGGACATGCCAGCACATGGGGCTATGCACAGGGACACCCGCCACACACAGGACCATGCACGGGGACATGGGGGTATGTGCCAGTGCACGGGGCTGTGCACGTGTGGGGGTGGCTGCGTTGTTTGCACACTGGGAGCTGCTGCAGGTCTGATCACCACTTGCTCCACGTGCAAGGATGATTGTGCAACACCTGACGGAGGTGACTGCTGAGGGGGGGGGAGTGGGAGTGTGGGAAATGCACCAAGGCATAAGGACATGGGAACAAGCATGGGGCCATGCACCAGGGCACGGGACCACGCATGGGGCCATGCACCAGGGCACGGGGCCATGCATGGGTACATAGGGTCAGACTTGTGGCCACCACCCAGGGCAGTGTCAGCAGCGGTGACAGTGGCAGGGACAGTAGCAGTATCCAGGCATGCTAGGACAGGCTGGGCAAGGTCCGTTGTGCAACCGCAGTGCATAAATAGCCGTGGGGGTGCCAGCTGCTGCCACTGCCCCTCCATGGAGCCTGGGACGACCCTGATGTTACTGCTCCTCGGCCTCTTTCTCCTCTTCCTCATCCTCCCCCGGCGTGGGGCAACCCCTGCCCCGCAGCCTCCTGGTCCCCTCGCCCTGCCCCTCCTGGGAAACCTCCTGCAGATCTCCCCATTCCACACTCTCCAGTCCCTGCTTAAGGTGAGGAGGGGGCACCAGCAGAGGGTGGCAGGGCAGGGGAGCACTCACCTGGTCCCGTTGCAGACGGGCCAGAAGGTCAGTTGGGAGGGGAAGACGGGGTTGGGGGGAGGATCCAGGTGGGTGCCCCCCACCCCATCACAGCTGGGCCAGAAGGTGAGTTGTGGGGTGGGTGTGGGTGGGTGCCTTCACCCACCCCCTGCTCCCCGCAGCTGAGCCGCACCTACGGCCCGGTGTTCCGGGTGTTCCTGGGGTCCCGGCCAGTGCTGGTGCTGGAGGGCTCCGCCGTGCGCGAGGCGCTGGTGGACAACGCCGAGGCGTTCGCGGGGCGCGGCCGGATGCCCACAGTGGAGAAGACGTTCCACGGGCACGGTGAGGGGACCCCCGGGGAAGGGACTCTCCTGCACTTGCCCTCTGGGCGCTCGGCCCCTGTCCTGTGGGTGCTCGTCCCCCTCCCATTGCTGGGTGCCTCCTCCCCATGGGGTGCCCTCCATCCTGTGCTAGGTGCCCCTACCCCAGGGTGCCCACCCCCCGTCCCCATGGCGTGCCCACCCTCAGGGTTCTGACCCCCCCCACTGGATGCTGATTCACCCTCCCGGGTGCCTCCCCAGGAGTGGTTTTCGCTAACGGGGATCGCTGGCGCCAGCTCCGCCGCTTCTCCCTGACGGTGCTGCGGGATTTCGGGATGGGCCGGAAGAGCCTGGAAGGTCGGATCCAGGAGGAGGCACAGATGCTGCTGCAGGAGCTGCGCAAAACCAAAGGTGCTGGGGGGTAGTGAGGGAGGGTCAGGGTAGTCCCACCCATGGGTGCTGACCCCTCCTGACCCCCTGCAGGGAAGCCCTTTGACCCCACATACCATTTGAGCTCCGCTGTCTCCAACATAATCTGTTCCATCGTCTTTGGGAACCGCTTTGATTACCAGGATCAGGAATTCCTGGAGCTGCTGCAGATCATGAATAAGAGTTTCCGCGAGATCAGCAGCACCTGGTCACAGGTGGGAACATGGGGACAGGGCTGGGGACACAGGATGGGGACAGGGACAGTGCTGGGGGTATGAGGTGGGGTTAAGGATAGTGATGAGGACATGGGGTTGGGACAGACACAGTTGTGGTGATGTGGGGTGCAGGCATGGGGTGGGGACAGGGACAGTATGGGGGCCCACGCTGGGGCTGGGGCAGTGACACGGGGTAGGGGCTGGGAGGGTGGGGTGAGTGGGGGACTTGGGGGGGTCTGACAGCACCTCTCACTCCCCCACGCAGATTTACGACATGGCAGAGTCGGTGCTGTGGCCCCTGCCCGGCCCCCACCAGCGCATCCCGAGGCTCCTGGGCAAGATGCGGGAATTCATCGCCCGGAGGGTGAAGAGCAATGCCCGGAGCCTGGAGCCAGAGCAGCCCCGCGACTTCATAGA